CTTTGAAAGGAGGGAGAAAATGATATTATGAATAGTATGAGTGCCCTTTCATGAAAGAATTTGGCACAGCTGGTAGTTTCTGCCCAGTTGGGAGGAAGATTAGAACGGTAATTGAGGTTGTATTCATGTTTGGGGGGAAATGACAAGTCTACTATAGCTATTTTCCTTCTCTGCCGCCCCCAAATTCCCATGTTGATCTTTTTTTCTCTCTCAAACCACAGCATTTGGGGAAGAATGGTGCGCATTTTGGAAGATTGTGTGTTATAACCATCATTGTTAACAACAGCCAATTAATTTTTATATTGAATTAATTTATGATTATTTTTGGAATGGAAACCCTATTACAGTAGCACAGAATTCTAAGCAGAAAGGTGGAAAAAACTAAATCCAGTGGAATGTGTTGATACCCCCCCACACACTTCCCGGCAGCAGTCTTTTTTCACATTGCCTTTTTAATTTCAGCATTTTTTCTTCTTTCACTCTGAAGAAGGCTCTGAGCAACTGGGTTATGAGTGTGTTGGAAATAAAGTGGGAAATTTTACAAGGTGTAAATACAGAAGGAAATGTTTTAGTTTTCAGAGTATAAATGGCCACATTTTTTAAATCACCCATTGCATTGTCTGGAACTAATTATTGCTTCACACCCAGTAAATATCAGTTGCCATTTACCAAGAGATAACTTATAAAAATTTGCAGGTAACCACCTAATATGACAGTTGCCTATAACATCTTGTCAAGCTTTGGTGAGAATTTTACCGCTCCTGCTGTCTGTGGACTAAACCTGTGAGATGTTTTTTCTCACTTCTTTGTGAGAATTTCACTGCCCTCTTTTCTCTGAGTGCACCTATGGATCATTTGTTTCCCACTCTGTAAAGCAGAAGTGGTACACAGCAGCTTTATATATTTTATTACATTTTTAAAAATTCATTTGTGTTATTTATGGTCTGCTTTTCTCACTGATACTCAAGGCGGATTAGACAATGTAAGGTCCCGTTCACACGCGGCTATTTGGTCCGGGAGCGGGACAGTTCGGGGCCGGATCAAACCGGCGCGATCACACCACCACATCTGGGAAGCGTCCGGCTTCTGTTCCCGAACTGTCCCTTTCCCGGGATAAGCCGCGGCAAACTGAACCACCTCCTTTGGTGGTTCAAAGGGACGTGCCGCGGCAAACCGGGCGTTTGATCGCCAGCGCGTCTTTGCGCTGGCACAACCCCGGCCCGGAGCCGAACTGCGCATGCTCGGACATGCGCAGTTCGGCCGGCTAGGCGTCGGAACTGGGTTTTCTCCCCGGCGTTTGATCGCGCCGGGGAGAAAAGGCGGCGCGGCCGGGGGATCCGTGGGATCCCGCCGCGCCGTGTCAACGTTGGCGCGGCTTTTAACAGCCGTGCCTTAAAGAGGCTTTTCCCCTGCCGTGTGGCAGGGGCCTGAGTCAATACAGTCAACAGGATGGGGCATCCAGTAAACAATGCAAAAGGGGTTTGGACTGTGGAAATCTGAAAACAAGCAGGAATCTGAAACAGACTTGAAACAAAGTATAAGCATTTAAATGTGACCTGTTAAAGGATGCAGGAGTTTCATAGCGGGAGCATACTTACAACAACAGACGCTATTGTTGTTAACTGTTTTTCAAAATTCAGTAAGGCTGAAAATGTGTCCAAAGCAACTTAGTGCATCTATGAATGAGGCAGGATTTGAATTCAGACCATACTAATTTTCTTAGATGTAGATGGCCTGATTTTCCTAGTGTGACCTGAAAACTTCTCAATCTTCTCTCCCCCCCTCTCTAGCCAGAATATGCAAATATTTGTTTCTGGTACATTCCACCTCGCTTGAGAAACATGGAGAGAGGACCTGAATTCTGGGAGCAGCTCCATCAGGTGAGTATTGCATGGCATTTATTGAATTGCCAGTTTATTTCCAATAGGACACCTGTGCAGCTGCAAGACAAACACAAATTCAGAAAGTGACACTTTCCCAGCGTTCAATGTATTGACTCATAAACCCTTTCCGTGGGTCTTCCAGGCACTGGAGCCCAATCAGAGGAAATAAGTTTGGCAGCTCTAGCTGAGGAACAGGTAGGGATCCTGATTTATGCACGCTTTTGTGTGCATTGAAATGAAAACGACTCTGAAAGCTGCTTCTGTGTATACTCACAAAAGTAATCCATCATGGGAGCGCTGTTTTGATCCAAAGATAGGCATTCCTAGGATTTTAAAGTTTACTACTATTTCAATTTAGACAAGGCTAATTAAGTTTTCCTCTTAATATAATAGATGCAGACATTATACAAGCCTTCCGCTTGCTATCAAAGCTGCTAACATATGGCAGAGCTGAGGGAAGATGAACAATGTTGTCTGTCTCTGTTGTCTAGACAGAGCATTCATTACCTGTGTTTAGACATTTAACGTTGTCCTTGGGACTTGCTTTGCATGATCAATGGATAATAGATGGGAAAAGGGCGCCTAAGAATACATTTCTGATGTTAAGCCTGCCTATAAAAGGAATTAGAATCAGAATGGGGTAATTATCAATAGAGTCTTTTCCCAGTCTGCTGGAAAAAGCTAGTACTTGGGGATAAAGAGTAAAAAAAATTTTTTTAAAGGTCTAACAAGAGTTTCATTAAGAGAAAAGTTGTGGAAATTGTGAATAAATAACTTTGCCAAAAGAGGGGGCTGGGCACTGCTTACACTGCTCCTAGTGGCCTGTTTGGGCCACTCTTCTTCCTGCAGTTCTAATCTTAGACATAAGTGCTAGACATAGCAACAGAAGTAAATATGTGTACATCTGGTGGCCTGATCTTGTGATCTCTGTGTTGAGGGCGGGGCTGGTTTGCAGCATCTGGGAGGAGGGCCCTAAAGCAGCCAGTGCAAAACAAGACTGTGCTCTTTGACCTCACTGCCTGATGCAGCAGCTGTGCAACAAAAGGCTCTTTTCATCCTTTTCAGTTGGTAGCATTGCAGGGTGAGGATACCTTCCTGTACCTAGGAGTGTGTTTGGTTTTGTAACATACACAGAGGTGGATGCAAGCACGTTCCAGCTGTTTCTTATGGCAATGCAAGGAACGGGCATTTCTGGAAAGTGGAGCAAATAACCAGGGCTCTGACTGACTGCCCTCTCCTGCATTAGGACTGTACTTCATCCGAGTAGCTGCAATTTTATACCGAACCTCTGGACTTGAGTCATAGGAGCTATTCTCCTACCAAAGTTAAGCTGGGATGTTGTGGTTTGTTTGTGTCTAGCTGAACCCATGCTTTCCTCTTATTTCAAATGTTGACAATTCTTATATGAACACCCAGAAGGAAGATCAGGATGATCAAGCTGGGTTTAAATTTACACAGCTTTATTTACAATCCTGAAACAACAGGCAGTCAGGGTCTGTGCAGCAATAAAAGCTGCATTGCTCTGCTATAAAATATAATTTGGTACTCTGGCTCCCCATGTGGCATTACAGTCAGAGGAGCCATGGCCACTGAGGCCAAGATGGACAATCCTTATTCTTTCCCTTCCCTTCCTGACACCACTTGAGGGTAAGGGAAATCAGTGCAATCCATTTATGTTGTCACTGCTTGATTTGCAGTCCAACAATTTATTAGTGCCTTATCCCAGGAGAGTTCATTCCCTGGAGACTTTTAAGATGTTAAGCTTTTGAAGGACACTGACTCATACACTCCAGTTTGGTGTGCCAGTTGTTATTGTTTTACCTTGCTAAACAAAGATGGAGACTGCTGGTAAGTGCTACATGCACATGCAGTCAGTTCTTATCCTTAACAGCTGATGTCACTTGCCATTACCTTTGAGCAATTAGATGCAAGTGAATCCCTTTGCTAAATAGGAGATATTTAATAAGCAAGATTTTGCAGATGAAAGAGGAAATCTCTCTCTCCCTCCCTCTCCCTCCCTCCCTCTCGCTCTTTCTTTCTTTCTATTAGAGAGAGGGAGATCTGTGTGCATATAAAACCCAGTAAATGGAGAACAAATATGATCCTCTGGCATGTTGGATGTATGATGATATTTATTGCTAAGTATATGGTGAAAACTGTTGCTGAACATTGACATAGCTTTAATAGAAGGGATGATAAACCTTGATCTGCTTTTGCTAGTACTGTACATGCCTCCAGAGGGTTTTTTTTTCCTCTTTCTCACTTGGCTACGTCTTATAATTAGGTGGAATTAACTGAAAGGAAACTTTTAGGATTAAAAGATATACATACCATGTGTCCTTCATTGTGAGACTTGGGTTAGAATTTAAGCCTTACTGTTCAGTGCGTGGACTCTAATCTGGGAGAACTGGGTTTGATCCCCCACTCCTCCACTTGCAGCTGCTGGATGACCTTGGGCAAGCCATAGTTCTGACAGAGCTGTTCTCTCAAGGACAGTTCTCTCAAAGCTCTCTCAGCCCCACCTACCTCACAGGGTGTCTGTTGTGGGGAAGGGAAGGGAAAGGAGTTTGTAAGCCGCTCTGAGACTCTGAGTGAAGGGCGGGGTATAAATCCAATCTCTTCTCTCCTTCTTCTTCTTCTTCTAAACCCATTTACCAGGAGGTCAAATCCTGGACCATGAAACCCTGATTGCAGTGCCCCATTTAGTTAATCCCCGCTGTGTCGGCATCTTGTATGGTGCAATGAAGGGATGTTTTGATCTACAGTTATCTGGGTGGCTGCCACAAATACCATTTTGTTAAGATGCAAGGAGTGAGGACTGTAGCAGGCACAATTTGGTTTGTTGATCCTCTTCTTTAACTCAGCAAGATTGTTGTTAGAACAGCTGTTTCAATGAATGAATGACTAAAAGGCAGACTAACTGGAAAAAATTCACCCCACATCTCCCTCCGAAAGCTCAGCCACCTAGCCCATCTTTTTCTCTTCTAATGTGCTAAATATCCCTGACCTGAATGGCTCAGGCTAGTCCGATCTTGTCAGATCTTGGAAGTAGGGTCTGCCCTGTTTAGGACTTGTATGGGAGACTACCAAGGAAGTCCACTGTTGCTATGCAGAGGCAGGCAATGGCAAACCACCTCTGTTTGTCTCTTGCCTTGAAAACCCTACAAGTCAGCATAAGTTGGCTACAACTTGATGGTGCTTTCCACCACCAATGTGCTAAATGGAAACAGAAGCTTCCAATCCAAGGTGAACATTGGGGTTTTTTGGGGGGGAAGGCAAGTACATAACCTCTTCCTGCTCACAGTCAGAACATTGAAAGAAGCTTTAAAAAGTCTGCTAGCTCATGAGTTTGTTGCTAGATATTTCAGGACACAGGTCAGCTGACCTGCCTATCTCATGTACAACTGGCCACGTGCAAGGGAGGAAATGGAGATTCACCAAGTACTTAGTCTACGATATAATAGCAATAATATTAATTGAAATGAAAAGTACATGAGGGTTTCCCCAGTTGGCGCAAATAGTGCCTCCCCCACACACACACCATTTGAGGTCAGGAAATGATACAGGTGAATTTTTTTTTAAAAAAATTATATCCCGCCCTTCACTACCCAAAGGAGTCTCAGAGTGGCTTACAATCTCCTTTCCCTTCCCCTCCCCACAACAGACACCCTGTGAGGTAGGTGGGGCTGAGAGAGCTCTTTTGAGAACAGCTAGTGAGAGAACAGCTCTGAGAGAACTTGTAACTGACCCAAGGTTATACCAGCAGCTGCATGTGGAGGAGTGGGGAATCAAGCCCAGTTCTCCCAGATTAGAGTCCATGCTACTAACCATGACACCAGACTGGCCCCTTGAAGCCCCTTCTCTCCATGTGCCATGGTCCCAATTTGAATCAGTTGCCACGTGTATGGGAACTGAGGGGAATCATTTCTTACCAGAAGATAAAGTAGGGAATCAAGAAATAACCTGTGTAAATTGTAACATGAATGAGCCTTTAGTTAACAAACAGATGGAGGAACCAGGGGGGAAAAAGAGAAAGCAAGATGTTAAGAAATATAAAGTGATGGTCAACAATGGCATTCATCCTTGAAAGGACCTATTCTAAAGCACAAATGTGTTGGGATATTGCAAGTTCATCCTTCAGTCATTAAAGAGTTAATCTGTTTGTTTGTACATGCTAACATTAGTTAGTTAGCTTAGGACCAATTAGGTTTTAGGCATGTATTTCCTGCCAGAGAAAAGGAGGTAATATTCCTAATTAGTTGGGATTTGGGCCAGTTGTTGGCTAATCAATCTAATCCATTTTATTGGGGTGCTACTTGCAGCTTGGCACATATGCAGGAAGTGGGGGCAGAGGGGTAAACGTTCTGTCTCCTTTATTCTCACACACACAGGATGTTTAGCAAACAACTAGACAACATGGAGCTTAGAATCAGTTAGCCAGGAAGTTTGTTATTTTATCTCCAGTGTAACCCTCTTACCCTTATTATTTAGTAAAGTCTTTTTCTTAAACTAATACACACGTGTGGCTGCAATCCTTTTTCTCTGCTGAATATCCAACACAATGTACATTAATTCTGTCCTAACTTTACCTTTGACATTTTAGTCTGTTTCTTGAAACCTAACTGCTTGTTGCTATATAAAAATCTGCTGTATAAAAAACCTAAGATGTAATGTTTCCTTTAAGGTTATTTTATGTCTCTTTGTTTATAAAGTGAATGTGTGCATTCAGGATTTTTGAAGTTCGAGAATATCACTTTGCTAGCTACCAAAGGTTTCTTGTTTTTCCCTTTTTTTTTTTTTTTTAAATTAATTACATCCATGCATGTGATATTAGCTAATTACTATATTATCAGAGAAGTTCAAAGAGAAAAAAAAGGGTCTGGTAAAGTTTGGTTTGACAGGTGTAAAAGAAATGACACTTTCAACTTTATCAGCACCAACATACAGAATATATAGCACTTTAAATTTATTTGTGAATCATCTTAGTTTTAAAACAG